AAGGGACAAGAGATGGGGACTGGGAAAAGGGATGGGGACGAGGGATGGGGACAGGGGACATGGATGGGGACAAGGGATGGGGACAAGGGACAAGAGATGGGGATTGGGAAAAGGGACAGGGACAAGGGATGGGGACTGGGATGGGGACAAAGGATGGGGGTGGGGACAGGGATGGGGACAAGGGATGTGGATGGGGAGAAGGAATGGGGAGAGGGGACAGGGATGGGGACACGGATGGGGACGGGGAGGGGAGACAGGGACGGGGACAGGGGAATGGGGACAGGGGAGGGGGAAATGTCAAACCTTTCCAAAATCCCTGCATCCCGGTCGATCAGTAACGGTCAAATTGCCCCAAAACTGGGAGTTTTACGAAGGAATGGGGAGAGGGGACGTGGATGGGGACAAAGGATGGGGACAGGGAGGGGAGACAGGGACGAGGACAGGGGAATGGGAAATGTCAAGCCTTTCCAAAATCCCTGCACCATTGCATCCCAGTCGACCAGTAATGGTCAAATTGCCCCAAAACTGGGAGTTTTACCCCCAACAGGGACCAATCCAAGGGGGTGACGTGCCTGGGAGGCAAAGGATAAAGGGATCGGGGACGTGGATCATTCGGGATTTCTGACTCATTGATTCTCAATCCTATATATCATCGAGCAGAACTTCACCGTTTCCCTCCAGATTTGCCCCAAACGAGGAGGGAGGAGGAGAAGGACGAGGTGGAGACCTGAGAGGTGTCCACCTGGAGCATGAACTGTGCCTGCACGGAAGGGACAAACCCTGCAGAACTTCAATGTGGACCAGAAGTTGGGTTTTTTGGGGGCTGTTATTTCAATTTTTCCGAACTTCAATATGGACCAGAAGTTCTCGGTTGGGTTTTTTTGGGGGTCTGTTATTTTAATTTTTCCGATCTTGGTGTATTTGTTTGAATAAGGATAATTTGGTTGGTTGGTTGGTTGATAACGAAAGTTTTGATATGGGGTGCTGTGATTGTCATCATAATTAGCTCTACGATAATCACAGGCGTTGAGTGGACAATCTCTTGTCCATGGGTCGATGCCGATTACGGGGAGAAAAGAGGCAACGGGGAGGATTGGTCCCCTTGGAGAACTCAACAAAAGACCCCAAATCAACCCAAAGTAACGAAGCCCGTTGTGAAATCGCACAAATATCGTCCGTTGTGCCCCTGGTGGGAACCTGCAGCACTTTCGGGTGTGGTTTGTCCCTTCATTAAGGCATTTAATTAGTGCTGCCTGATTGTGTCAACGTTCCACAAAGCCGTAGCCTCCAGAAATGGGTGTAACACTAAGCTATGAGGACTTAAAATACCTAAAATAGGTTGGGTGTTTACAGGATGGACATCTACTGGGTGGACATTTACTGGATGGACATCTACTGGGTGGGTATTTACTGGATGGACATCTACTAGATGGACCACTAACTCCTTGCAAACGTTGGTTGTTATCCTAATTTGCATTCATCGACTCATGGGATCGTCTAGGTTGGAAGGGACCTTCAAGATCATCTAGTCCAACCGTCAACCCAACTCCGACAAAAAAACCAAACAAATAAGAAATAAGCAATTACAAATAAATCACTAACCCACATTCCTTGAGGACCACGTCAACGCGTGTTTTGAACACCTCCAGGGTTATTGTAGGACACGGTGCCGTTAGTTGAGTTAAAGGAGTTGGTATCAATTCCTGGAAGTCCACCTGGAAAGTGGGGAATTCCTGGATCTACCTAAACGCTCAGATGATGAGCCACCAATGGGCCCTGGTGGCCAAGGAGGCCAAGAGTGTGGAGAACCTCAAGGGAGGTCATCCTCCCCCTCTGCTCTGCCCTGGGGAGGCCCTCATCTGGAGCACTGGGACCAGTTGTGGGCTCCCCAGTTCCAGAAGGAGAGGGAACTGGTGGAGAGGGTCCAGCAAAGGGCTTCAAAGATGATGAGGGGCTGGAGGATCTCCATGATGAAGAAAGGCTGAGGGACTTGGGGCTTTGGAGTCTGGAGAAGATTGAGGGGGGATCTCCTGGCTGGTGGGTGTCAGGAGGATGGGGCCAGGCTTTTTCCAGTGGTGCCCAGTGACAGGACAAGAGGGAACGGGCACAAACTTGAGTATAAGAAGTTCCACCTCAACACGAGGAGGAACTTCTTGACTTTGAGGGTGGCAGAGCCCTGGGAGAGGCTGCCCAGAGAGGTGGGGGAGTCTCCTTCTCTGGAGACATTCCAAACCCACCTGGACAAGATCCTGTGGGACCTGCTCTGGGTGGGACCTGCTCTGGGTGGACTCACTTTGGTGGGGGGTGGTTGGACTTGATGATCTCCAGAGGTTCCTTCCAACCCCGTATGATTTCTATGATACCGAGAGGTCGGGTGGTGATGACATAACCGTGGTGGATCAGGTCACATAACCGTGGTGGATCAGGTCACGGGGGGGGGGTGGCATTTACTGGAGCACCAGTCGAACCGGTTTGAGGGCACGAGAGGTGAGATGGAGGGAGTTGTCATCTCCTCCTGGCCTCCTCCGCGTGGAGACACCTCGGGGGGAGCGAAAGGGCTCATCTTGGGGTTGTCCCAAGGTTGCATCATGAGGAAGAACCCAAACGGAACAGAGCAAAGTGCCCCAGGTCCCATCCCACCCCCATCTCCCCAACTTTGAGGGCTGGACATCCCAAAAAGGGCCAGAGGGACCACGGTACCACCAGAGGGAAACACCTCAGGGTGGGGGAAACCACCGGGGTGTGATCCTTCACCCCCTGAGAGAACCAGGAAATCCAAACCAGGAGGTTTGGGGAGAAAAATGAGGGATCTTCCAAGGATCCAGGTGGCCTGAAGGACATCCAGGGATCCAGAGACCTCGGCTGAGGGACAGGAGAGGTGAAGGAAGAGCTGGAAACTGGTGGCTCTTGGACGCAGCGGCGTGACGTGGAGCGGGGAGGGATCGGACCTGGGAGCGAAGGGCAAACACAACGTGGACTTGGACCTTCTGGTGAGGTCCCTTCTCTGTTTCGTCACGGACGGGGAGAGGGGACAAGGGATGGGGACAGGGAAAGGGACAAGGGGTGGGGAGAAGGGATGGGGACAAAGGGTGGGGATGGGGAGAGGGGACATGGGATGGGGACAGGGATGGGAAGAGGGGACAGGGATGGGGACAAAGGGTGGGGATGGGGAGAGGGGACATGGGATGGGGACAGGGATGGGAAGAGGGGACAGGGATGGGGACAAAGGGTGGGGATGGGGAGAGGGGACATGGGATGGGGACAGGGATGGGAAGAGGGGACAGGGATGGGGACAAAGGGTGGGGAGAGGGGACAGGGATGGGGAAAAGGGATAGGGATGGGGAGAGGGGACAGGGACAAGGGATGGGAACAGGGGACAGGGATGGGGACAGGGATGGGGACAAGGGACATGGATGGGGACAAGGGATGGGGACAGGGATGGGGAAAAGGGATAGGGATGGGGACAGGGATGGGGACAAGGGACAGGGATGGGGACAAGGGACGGGGACAAGGGATAGGAACAGGGGACATGGATGGGGACAGGGGACAGGGGATGGGAAAAAGGGATGGGGACAGGGATGGGGACAGGGATGGGAACAAGGGACATGGATGGGGACAGGGATGGAGACAGGGATGGGGACGAGGGATGGGGACAGGGGATGGGAAAAAGGGATGGGGACAGGGATGGGGACAGGGATGGGGACAAAGGACATGGAGAAGGGACAGGGATGGGGTCAGGAATGGGGATGGGGAAAGGGGACAACAGGTGGGGACAGGGGTGGGGACAAGGGACAGGGATGGGGACAATGGATGGGGGTGGGGACATGGGATAGGGACAGGGACAGGGATGGGGAGAGGGATGGGGACAAAGGATGGGGACAAGGCTCAGGGATGGGGGAGGGGACAGGGCTGGGGACAAAGGGTGGGGGGACGGGGACACCTGGGCCACCTCCTTCCCGGCAGGTGACATCCCCCGCGGGAGGGGGGAGGTGGCCTCGGGGAGGAAGTTTGTGGAGGGGGTGGGGTGACCCGGGGCTGCGTCACACGCACCCACAGATTTCTGTCACCACCGGCCACCCCCCGGCCAGTGACAGAGCCAGCCGCGGGCGGTGAGACACTGGGAGCCACTGGGAGCCACTGGGAGCCACTGGGGAGGGCTGAGTGGAAGCTGGAGTGAACTGGGAGCCACTGGGAGCCACTGGGGAGGGCTGAGTGGAAGCTGGGGTGAACTGGGAGCAACTGAGGACGGCTGAGCGGAAGCTGGGGTGAACTGGGAGCCACTGGGGTGAACTGGGGAGGGCTGAGTGGAAGCTGGGGTAAACTGGGAGCAACTAGGGAGGGATGAGAGGAACCTGGGATGAACTGGGAGCCACTGGGGAGGGCTGAGAGGAAGCTGGGGTGAACTGGGAGCAACTGGGAGCCACTGGGGAGGGCTGAGAGGAAGCTGGGGTGAACTGGGAGCCACTGGGAGGGGCTGAGTAGAAGCTGGGGTGAACTGGGAGCCACTGGGAGCCACTGGGAAGGGCTTAGTGGAAG